TAGTAGTAGCAGTAGTAGTAGTAGTAAGAGTAGTAGAAGTACTAGTAGCAGTAGTAGTAATAGTAGCAGTAGAAGCAGTAGCAGTAACAGTAGTAGTGGTAGTAGCAGTAGTAGTAGTAGTAATACCTAACACATATTACACATACTATGTGCCAGGCACTGTGCAAAGTGCTTTTTACAAACATCTCATCTGATCTTCACAATAACCCAGGGAGGTAGGTGGTATTATTATCCCCAATTTACAGGTGAGGAAACTGAGGCAAACAGAGGTTAAGTGACTTGCCTAAGATCACACAGCTAGTAGTAGTAGTAGTAATAGTAGCAGTAGTAGTACTAGTAGTAGTAGTAGTAGTAGTAGTAGCAGTAGCAGTAATAGTAATAGTAGTAGTAGTAGTAGTAGTAGCAGTAGTAGTAGTAGCAGTAGTAGTAATAGTAGTAGTAACAGTAGTAGTAGAAGCAGTAGTAGTAACAGTAGTAGTAGTAGTAGTAGTAGTAGTAGTAGTAGTAACAGCTAACACATATTACACATACTATGTGCCAGGCACCATGCAAAGCGCTTTTTACAAACATCTTGTTTGATCTTCACAATAACCCAGGGAGGTAAGTGGTATTCTTATTGCCAATTTACAGGTGAGGAAACTGAGGCAAACAGAGGTTAGGTGACTTGCCTAAGGTCACACAGCTAGTAGTTGTAATAGTAGTAGTAGCAATAGTAATAGTAGTAGCAGCAGTAGTAGTAGTAGTAGTAGTAGTAATAGCTAACACTTACATTGCACATACTATGTGCCAGGCACTGTGCTAAGCACTTTACAATTATTATTTCATTTAATTTTCACAACATCTCAGGGAGGTAGGTGCTGTTATTATCCCCATTTAACAGATGGGGAAACTGAGGCAAACAGGGTTAAGTGACTCACCCAGGGTCACACAGATAGGAAATGTCTGAGGTCAGATTTGAACTCAGGAAGATGAGTCCTCCTGACTCCAGGCCTGGTACTCTAACCACTGTACTTCTTAACTGCCTTCATGTAATCCTATGTGTTTTAGTTTATGCATTTAAAAACATTAGTTTGAGGAGTAGATAGGTTTCATTGGACTGCCAAAGGGGTCCATGACAAAATTTTGCCTTGGGTATGCCCAGTATAGCACCTAGCACATTGTGGATGCTTAATAAATAGTAAACAGACCTTTCTCTGCTCTTATACTGGCCCAGACAAGAAATAGGATGGGCTAGAGAATCATTTATTTAATAGGCCCAACATGTCTGTGACTGTACCCAATCTTGGAAAAGGCCCTAAAATTGTCAGGCATCCCCTAACACACACACACACACACACACACACACACACATGAGACAGGTGTCAATCAACCACCATCAAGTCTGCTGAGTGACTATGGCCTAACATTTCCCCATTCTGGGCCTCAGTTTCCTTATCTGTAGAATGAAGAGGTTAAACCAGAAGATCTCAAGATCGTTCTGTGTGCTAACCCTCTTTAGCTGCTAACTCCCTCTGCCTGTAAGCCACCTCTGGGCTGTTGGACGTTCATCCCCTGCTGACCTTCATGGCTGTCCAGACTCCGGTTGCTTGGGTGATCCACTCCCGAGCATGAATACCACTGTCAATCCAGATGGCAGGCCGGGTCCTGTTTCCAGTGCTGAACTGGGAGACAAGGAGACAAGCCGCCCAGCTGGTGTTAAAATGGCTCATGGGCCATACTAGTTATGATGACATTTCCAGAAATTCCATACAATGGGTCAACTCTACTTGGAGGGCTCTCTGGTTGCTTAGACATAGACTGAGGGTGAAACGTGTATGTGTGTGTGTGTGTGTGTGTGAGAAATTGGCTCCCTCAACACCTATGTGTACAACACCAGAAGGCAGCAATAGAAAAGGATGTCCTCTCCAGTGGAGGTAGGAACAGAGATGTAGGGAGAGTCCTTTGGCTAACAAATAGAGGGCTCAGATTGCTGGAGACTTTGTGGTGATGAACCTTGGACCTTCAAGACTTCCATTTCTGGGCATCCATGGCATGGATCCTTTCAAGTGATCCAGGGCACTCCTGATCAATACACAGTGTCTTCACACTTCAGACTTAAGACTAAGCCCCTTCATTTTACACACAAAGAAACTGAGGCCCAAGGATGTTAAGTGACTTGCCATGGGTCACACAGTTATTAAGTGTCTCAGGAAAGATATGAACTTAGGACCTCTGACACTCCAGTTCAGAGCTCTATCCACGCTAGGCACAAAACTCCAGCATTATTTTTTGCTCCAAATATTATTTTCTATAGCGCTAGTGTGTGATGTTGACTCAAGTTCATTTATATAGACTTTCAGTTGGTGGACAGCAGACAGTTCTGGGAAAGCAAAAATCTCAAAACCCTCTATTTGGGAAAGGGCAGGAGGACTCAGTATTCCTATTCCTAGTTAAGAGATGGAGCAACTGAGTCACCCATACTCACCCATCTCAAATCCAGGGTGAATGATCCCAATCCTCAGCTCTAATTTCTTAATAATCCTCCCACTGAGGATTCACCTTTTTGTGTGGCTGAGCTCATTCCCAGTCTCACTGTGTGAGATGGGGGTGATGGCTATCCCTGTCCTTGAACCCTAAGATTGTGGGCTCAGGGGTCACACCATTTCGTGCTGAATCTGAACCAAACCAATTGATGGGTGTGTATCCTCTACTTAAAACTCCGCAGGGAAAAAGACCCAAGAGGCCAGTTGTCCCAACAGTCACCCAACTCATTACTCCATGGGGCCCCAAGACACTGGTGGAAGTGGAAGGGGATGAATGAGAACAGGGCGTGGAGGAAAGCTTATCAATGGGACCAAGGCATTACCTTCAGTACAAAAATGGGACGTTTTTCAAAGGTCTGACCAATCATAAGTTTTGAGACCAGGTTTGAATGTTCAACCACAAAATTGTCCATCCAGGTGTAGATCTAAAAGGAAGACAGTTCAGATAGCTTGCAATGCCCAGGGAGAGACAGGAGGGGACTTGGAGAGACGGGGCACAAAAAATTACCCCCCTTCTTTTCTTCCTGCTCCCCATCACCCCTACCAACGTTCCTCTCTGGAGAAATGTTTAACTTGAGTCTCAATTCAATTTAATTTATAAAATCATATTTTTATTTAGATTTTATTTTATTTTAGATATTTTATTTAGATTGAGAGCTGGGAGATAACAAGAAAGATTATCTAATATAATTAGGCATATAATTATAATTATATATTATAGATAATATACATATAATAATTAATATAATTACCTAATATAACATCTCCCCCCTTTACAGATAAGAAAACTGAAGCTCAGAGAAGTCACAAATTTTACAACTGAGACCATAGAGATCATCTAAGTCCAACCTTTCATTTTACATGAAGAAACTTCAGCCCTGAGAAATTAAGTGATTTGCCCAAGGTCATAGAGATAGTAAGTGCCCGAGACCGGATTTGAACCCATCCTCTGCCTCCAAGGCCAGTGTCCTTTCCACTGAACCACACTACCTCTCCAATAATAATACTATTCATGAGTCTGCTCTGATCATGAGCCTGCTGTCATAAGGACCATCTCCCACCAGGAGGAATCTTCTCTCTCTGATCTACTTGGCTAAGAATACTCATAGATCTACCGCACCATGAATGCCTTGTTTTCTGGGGCAGTTCCCATTTTAAGAAAAGAAAGCATATCTATAATAGGGTTTTCCAAAAAAGTATATCCTTTACCAGAATATGAGTCCCGATTTGGAGTTTGAAAAATATGGTCACTGTATTTGAATGACCCATATAGTATGCAGGGGTGGGGAACCTGTGGCCTCAAGGCCACATCAGGTTCCCCACCTCTAGCATGGTATTGAATTGCAGTTAACAGTGTAGAGGTCTCACCTCCCCATCTAGATTGTAAGCTTCATGAAGGCAGGGACCGTGCCGCCAACATCTTTGTATCCTCTGAAGTTCATAGCACAGGACCTGCCATATAGCAGGCACCCACTAAATGACTACTGAAAAGATGGATGAGTGAATGAGGCAGGGGAAAGAAAACTGCACTTGGAGAATGAAGACCCAGATTCACCTTAGGCACATCACCGGGCCTGGTGGGCCAGCTGGGTCTCAGCTTCCTCATCAGTAAATTGAGGAGGTTAGACTAGATGACCCCTCTAAATCTTATCCCATGAATGAACATGGAGAGTTTAGCTGTTTTTACAGACTTCATCAATTTCACCCCCGTAGTCTACCATATTGGTCCAAATGGAGACTCTATCCCTAAAACGAGCTCCCTTTGAAAGAGAAAACAGTATATTGGTATATAAGAAAAATAACAAGGATGACAGGCCACAGTTAGATGTGGGGGGAAAGTTCAACCTATATTTAGAACCATACAGTAATAATTGCGATGATAATTATGCTGAGGGTAATAACAATAGTAATAATCATGGTAATAAGAATTATAATGCAAAGTCATTTGAATATGAAGTTTAATATGTACTGTGAGTTGGTTTTTTCCAGTAGTAGAGTCAGGCCAGGCTGCCCTGACTCATGTATATTCATTTTCATGCTAGGCCTCTTAACCCAACAACAGTCATGTGCAGCCTGAGGTGGGGAGTCAGTGGTTATGAGATGGAATTAATTTCTGCATGAGGCTGATTACCTCTGGGGACCACAGACAGAACAGCTCAGGGATATTGGTATATTTCTATGGGAAGCCCTTCCTCACATCTTCTCAGTTGTTTCTGATCTGTCTTCAAATTATATTATGTTCATTTACTATCTAAATGTTATTGTCCCTGCTATCCCCCTCCCCCAGAATGTAAACTCAAGGATGGGAACAGTTTTTCACTTGCATATAGCAGGTGCTTAATAAGTGTCCATTGAATTAGATTAAAATACTTACCTCCTCTAGAGTGTGGTAAGAGTTGTACCTGAAGCTACTAGTACTCCTTTCCAGTCTTCGGGAGGCCATCATACCTTTTCGTTCCTCATCTAACAGTACCTGGAATACAAACCCTCAAATGCCAAGAGGTCAAGGCCACACTTTCTTGGACTAAGATGGTGCCAACAGTCTGCTGGGGAGAGAGAAGCCATCACTGATGTGAAGACAAAGCCATCAGCCTTGGGCTCCAGTCTCCTCCTGTGTGCTGGCAACCACTCCCGCCAAGGTATGCGAGTTAGCGATAGCAAACTTAAGCAGTATGGTACAGGGACAGAATACTGGCATGGGAGTCAAAAGACCTCATTCAAGTCTGGACTCTTCTCCTTCATAGCTGTATTAACATAACTGCATTAACTCTCCGAGGCCTCTTTCCTCTTTGGTAAAATTGAGATGATAATCACCGAACTGACAACTGGGCAGATGTGACGAAGGTCAAATGAGACCAGATTTGTAAAGCATTCTGCAAGAATAAGGGGTTATCTAAACTCTATCTATTATCATTATTTAATGATGCTGATGATAATAATGAGCTCTTTGAATCTCATTTTCCTCAACTATAGAATAAACAGATGATATTAATAACAGCACCTTACAGTTATATGCTACTTTAGAGTTATAAAGTGCTTTCACATATGATATTTATGAAACACAGGCAACAGAATTCTAGATGACCTTGGCATAGAACAATTGGTGGAACTCAATAAGATGAAACTTATACTAATTTGTCAATATGTCGATCGATCTCATTAATACACCTGCACCTGTAAATTGCATCTGGTCTGTAATTTTCGATCTTAATGTAGATTAATGAAAAGTCCTGAATATGGGGGTCAAAAAATCAATTTGTAAGTACAAGATAGAAGAATGGCTAGATAATTATAATTACTAGCATTTATATACTGCTTTGAGGTTTGCAAAGAGCTTTACAAATATTAGCTGATTTGATCCTCACAACAACCCTGGGAAGTAGATGTTATTATTATCCCTATTTTATAGAGGAAACTGAGGCAGACAGAGGTTAATGATTTGCCCGAGGTCACACAACTGGTAAGTATCTGAGGCAGGGTTTGAACTCAGGTCTTCCTGATTCCAAGTCCAGCATTCTATCTACTGTCCCACCTAGCTGCCTCATAGTTTTACATTAATTTATGTGAAAAAAAAAATCTGAGAGTTTTAGTAGACTACAAATTTAATGTGTGAGTCAATCTAGCCACCAAAATATCTAATGCAACTTGCTAACACAATGTTTACTAGTGTACTCATGAAAAACATCCCAAAGCTGGAATACTGGTGCTGGACGACTTGTCTGACTATTGCGTTGGCCCCAGGCCAATGGACAGGAGCCATGGGAAAGACTAAAGAAATGAACTTACTAAGGTCTGAAGATTCTATTGTTTTCCTCAATTGAAAGGAGTAAATACATCAATACCTGACTGACCACAAGCCTTACTACCATACCCATCAGACAGCATGAAGGCATGTTGTGTGAACTGATGATTCTGGAACAAAACTTTACCCAGATTTTAAAATCACACCAAAAGGAACTAGGTCTAGGAAGTCTACACAAGTTTTCTAATTTCCAGACCAAAACTTGGTAGAACTCTTTAGAAGGTCTCCATAAGTGTTCCTCCCAGATAGCTCCTTCAGAATAAATCTGATCAGTCCTTGAAAAAAGATAACTGGCCATTCCATCACGATCTTTTTTGTGCCATTATCTAAAAAAGTGAATGTTTGCAAGTTCAGACAAATTTCTTGTTGTTCAATCATGTCTGACTCTTCATGTCCCTATTTGGGATTTTCTTGGCAGAGATACTGGAATGGTTTGCCATTTCCTTCTCCAATTCATTTTACAGAAAAGGAAACTGAGGCCAACAGGGTTAAGTGACTTGCCCAGGGTCACACAACTGCTAAGTGTCTGAGGCCAGATTTGAACTCAGGTCCTACTGACTCTAGGTCCAGCACTCTATTCACTGTGCTACCTAGCTGCCCCAGACTGAAATAGACGCTAAAAAAGACTTTTGTGGAACCCAAAAAAGAGGAAAATTTCTAATTACAAGCTCTCTTACAAGTCTGAAATTTAGTTATTTGAGTAGGATACTCCCTAAATTAGACATTGTGTTTCAGATATATGGATTTTCATTTGACCAGTTCTATAAATTTATCTCAAGCTATCTATCAGCCTCTCTTGTCACCTTCTCACAAAGAAATGCATAAAAGAGGGGCAGCTAGGTGGGGCAGTGGATAGAGCTCTGGCCTTGGAGTCAGGAGGACCTGAGTTCAAATCTGGCCTCAGACACTTGACCCTTACTAGCTGTGTGACCCTGGGCAAGTCACTTAATCCCAATAGCCTCACCAAAAAAAAAAAGAAAAAACGCATAAGAGAGAAGGACCCAATGGCTTCTTAACTACAAAACTCCTTGCCTGCTTAGAAGTCCATCCAAGCACAAATGGATAAAGACCCAGCTACAAGGGATCTTAGAGATTGTTTTTCTGATCCTCATTTCACAAATGAAAAATCTGTTCTCTCTGGCTACTACTTAGACAGAAAGTAAAATTAATGTAAGGCGAGACACCAACCACAGACCTGGTGAGAGATCTTACCTGGATATCTTCAACCGTGATGGCATAGGAGATGCCCCTGGAATTCAGATAGTTTTTGACAGCTTTCAGGTTAGAGAAAGGAACTCTCATATCCACAGGGAGGCTGGGCCTGGCTGGAGCATGCCAAAAATCAATCTTTGGTAGGGAGGGAGGTAAAGGAAAGAAAATAAATTGAATTTTATCATATAACCTGGAACATATATACCCAGGTAGGATGCAATGGCCTAATCTACTGTTATGCAGCAGGGAGGCCCTCCCCTCCTGCATCTCAGAAATGTTAACTCCTGCACCCTAACGTATTACTTAAAGCCCTAATGGCTGAGGTGTCGGGGTGGGGAGGAGGTAGAAAGAGAGAAAGAGTTCTTGTCCAAAAGTTCTTTCTCTCCTCCATGACACCCAAACCACTTTGCCATCTTCCAGCACTGCTTCTTGGCCAAACTCAACCTTGTACTGGAGCATCTTTGAGTCCCAAAGGCCACCCCCCCAAGCAAAAGTACAGACTTTACCTAAAGAAGTGATGAGTGAAGTAATGTCATCAATCACTGTAATTATAATGGAAAAGGTCCTTGGCCAGCAAAGGGAACTACAAAGACCAGGTATTGAATGGAACTATATAGGCAAAGGACATCGCTTCCCTTTGGTCATGGAATGGACAGGAAAATTTCATGTCCATAGTATAACACAGGTATACAGGCACTTGGATTCTACTCTCAGACATCTGTTGTGTGCCCCAAAGTCACTCCAAGGCTCTCCTCCATTTTTCTCTCTATAAAATGGGGAAAGTTGTTTATAACATCCTTTGATTACTGACCAATAGAAAAACTCATGGGCAATAGGAGCGAGGACTGTGAGCAGAGGTAGCCATTGGCCTGGCCTGTGGGACCATGTTCAGAAATATGTGATTGCCTCAACTACACCCCCCCCCAATAAAATATATTTTATTGTAACAATTAAAAGAAATGCTGCTAAACTCTGAGATCTCTTGACTGCCACCTTGAGCAATGTCCTTTAGCCTCTCCGAAACTTAATGTCCTCATCTAGAAAATGGAGACAATAAAGCCTTAAAACATGGGCTTGTATGGGTCCAATGTGATCGTATAAGTGAGGACCCTTGGGAACTGCAGAGCACCATACAAGTAGCAGGTATCGTGGTTATTTTTCTCCTGTGGCTACAAGAGAAATGTTTCCAATAGAAATAAAAGGTTAATACTAGCTAGCATTTGCATAGCTCTTTAAGGTTTACAAAGCCCTTTGCAATTATTATCTCACTTGATCTTTACAACAACCCAGGGAGGCAAGTGCTATTATTACAGATAAGAAGAAGAAGAATAGGCAACATTTAGATAGTGCCTACTATATTCCAGGCACTGTGCTAAGCACTTTTTACAAATAATATCTCATTTAATCTCCACAAGACTCCCAGGAAGTAGGTGCTATAATTATCTTCATTTTACAGCTGAGGAAACTGAGGCAGGCAGAGGTTAAGTGACTTGCCCTAGGTCAATAAGTATCTGAGGCTGGATTTGAGCTCGGCCCTGGCCCAGCGCTCTAACTACTGCTCAACCCAGTTGCCAAGATGGTAGACTGGGCTATTAGGATGGACCCAAGCCATACACATTTGCTACAGCAAGCCTTTTCATCAGAAGACCATCTACATGTCATCCGGCACTCAGCTCCTAACACTGGTGGATGGGATACTGAGGAATATAGTTTTGCATCAAACAAAAATGCCCCTTCTCCCTGCCCATCTCTTAAATTCCCACAGTTTTACAGTGCACACCTGGCTCAATCATCCTGCCTAGCAGCGTAAACAAAGCCCAAATTCTCAAGCATGGAGACCCAGTCCTTTGGTCCCCAACCTTTTTCCTGCATAGACAGGTACTCAATATTTTTTATTTTCGCGGAATCTTATGATCACTGGAGGGATGGAGGGTGAGAGGTGGATGTGGGAGGGGAAGGGATACTGCAGGCCAGATTCCTCTGCACCTGCTAGAGATGCTGGAATGTCCCAGGGAGGGCTCTGTAGCAGTAGCATGCCATCAACTGATGAAGTGAGGCCTGCAGGTGGACCATAATCTAACTGCGGGGAGGCCTGCCCTTGGAGGGGTCTATCACTATTAAATTAATTCCATGGGCCTCACCCACCAACCCTTTTGAAAAAGTACTGTATGACATAGCCAATTTAAAAAATTAAAGTGAATTAAAATTAATTAGGGTATTTCACAACAACTCTTCAGATATGAGACACCCTGAGGGGGTCAAGAGACCAGGGTTGGGTAACTGCTTTATGTCAGATGAAGCCGACTCCAGGTCTAAGCTCTGCCATACATGTGCTTCAAAGCTAGCAGGGAGACTGAGGATCTTCTAGACCGAACCCGTTTATTTTACGGATGATCAAAATGAAGTCAGGCAAGTGAAATGATTTGTCCAAAGTCAGGTGGGCAGTTTGCAGCAGTGCTGAGATTCAAACCCAGCGCTTTTCCATTACACCAGGGGAACTCCCATAGGCCCGACCTCACCTTCAGATATTCCGAAATGTCTAGATTCCTGAGTAATTGGAGCTGCTTCTCGTCCTTGGCCTTGATGCGGAGAACCTGGTCTCTGGGGAGACATAAGCAGGGGCAGGACATGGTGTCAGGGAGTCGGGGACAGCTGGGAGCAATGTTAGGCTTTAGCCCTTGGGAGAGCAGGGAGACCTTGAAAGGGGCTCTTTTGTCTGAGAAGCATTACAGAGAGGATCCACAATGAGGGATGACAAGGGACCACCAAGGCTGGGCACCAGCTGGCGGAATTTCAGGGGCCGTTAAACGCCAGCTCAGACCCTACCTCCCTGGGTCACCTCCCTGAGAGGTGGGTAGGGGTGGAGATCAGCGGCAGAAAAAAGAGGAAGGAAAGAGAAAAAAAAAAAGGGGGAAAGAGAGTCAAAGAGAAAAGAAAGGATGGGAAATTAGAAAAGGAAGGGAGGGAGGGAGAGAAAGTGAGGAAGAGGAAAGATTGTGTAATAGAGAAAAGGGGTCACAGATGGTTGTTCTAGGATCTGTTCAATGGCTCCAGACCCCACCACCATCATGTTTGTCGTCTTGCCTTCTAAGGAGCACCCAGCAAGATGCTAAGAGGAAGAAAGAATGAGGGGAGAAGGGGGAAGAGGCGTGACTGTGAATGTGCCCATTGTACAGACACTGAAACTGAAGCAGCTAGAAAGCGAAATAATTTAAAGCAGAGGAGGCAATGGGATGAGAACCCAGGAGTCCTCGTACTCCACCACCCAGAGCAGAGATGCTATCCTCCGCCCCAGACTCTGAGGCAGAGAGCCTCTACTTACCCACTGAACACCTTCTGGCTCGAGGTGGCTGCCAGGAGCAGGCTCAAGCCGAGGAGACCCCTCATGGTGAGCCAGAGTAGAGCAGGACCACCGTCTCCTATGGGCATGTGCAGCACGCTTCTCCCCAGCGGACGGCCCACTCGGGGGAGGGCTCCCCGTCAGGGACAGTTGCTCATGGTCCCAGCACCTAAGCGGTCTCCACGTTTGCTTATCTTGGGAGGAACAGAAACGTGTGATGTAGAAGCAGTAGGATGCTCTGGATAGGACGACTGCCCGGCCCTCCCCACCTCCAGGCAGAGCCCCCGGGGAAGGCAGAGACAGGGACGGGGAGCCCGGGAGGAAAAAGAGAAGGCAAAGACTTTCTCTCAGCCCTGGCATCCTTCTGTTTGTCAAAAGGGGGGGAAAGTAACACTGTATTCTGCACTTAGGCATCAGTCTTCCAGAAACAATGAAATCTAAGGTAAGATTAATTCCAAATCATTTCTGACTTGGAGAGCTATCCACAATGATAGTTTTCCCCATGCCCTTTGTCAAGACTCCATTCCAAGACAATTTCAGGTAACATTTATAGGAATCCAAAAAAGAAAATCAAGACATAAAATATAATTTCGGGTAAACATTAACATTAACATTCCCAATAGGTGAATGTCATTGGGAAATACAAACAACGTTTAAAAAAAAAACATCAATTAGTACTTATCTGATACTTTAAAAAACACCTTTCCCTTTCCCATCTCCCCATTTAATCCATTCCCCATTTCTCCCTTGTTCTCCGGGTCTACCTTCCACTCTCTCCCACTTTCCCTTTGGTCTGTCCTTCTCCTAGGAGAGCCAGCTTGGAGTTTAACCCCAAAAGCAGCAGAAACCCCCTTGCATGGGTGGTGCACCAGGATAGAACACCAGCCCTAGAATATGGAAGACCCGAGTGCAAATCCAGATTCAGACACTTACTAGCTGTATGACCCTAGGCAAGTCACTTAGCCTCTGTCTGTCTCACTTTTCTCATCTGCAAAACGCAGATCATAATAGCAATTATCTCCCAGAGTTGTTGTGAGCAAAAAATGAGAAAATATTTGTAAAGTGTTTAGCACAGTGCCTGGCACATAGCAGGTGGGGAAGGGGAAAGGGAGGGGCAGTTAAGAGAAGCTTGCTGGGTGGTTAAAAAATTGTAAATTATAGGGCAGCTAGGTGGCACAGTGAATAGAGTACCGGCCCTGGAGTCAGGAGAACCTGAGTTCAAATCCGGCCTCAGACACTTGACACTTACTAGTTGTGTGACCCTGGGCAAGTCACTTAACCCCAATTGCCTAGTCCCCCCCCCAAAAAAAGTAAATTGTTGAAGTGGCTATTCAGTTGGGGAAATCCCATTTTTTCCACCTTCAAGTTTGGCCATGAGCATCAATGGCACTGGGGATATCATCATGTTGGAAACGATTCCAAACATTCTCACCAATGTCCTTACCAATGGTCCTCCCTTAAAGCAGAGTCTCTTCCCCGGGCCCATGCAGCCAAGGTCTCCCTAGATGGAGCAACTGGGGACAGCAAAGTGGAGGCTGTCATGTGAAGCAGCCCCAGTGGGATCAAGAAACAAATCTTTAGGGCAGCTGAACCCGGTGACAGTTCTGAAAATCCACAGCAGAGGAAAAAGGGCAGGGATGCTCACTCGGGCTATTTCTGGTAACAGCATTTTAACAGGACAGTCACTCAGCAGCAACCTTTCTCAGAAACCCACTCCCACCGCCGCCATTTCCCAGAATGACAGATTAACTGGATGCGTGGAAGGATTGGGCACGTCCTAGTTGTTTATACTTGGTCCTGCTCCCCAGACCTGCTGGGCCTGTCTCATTATTTCATGAGTCTATTGTCCTGACAGGACAGAGTGTCCCAGGAGCCCTGGTCTCCAGAGGTCTCACAGTTTAAAAACAACAACAAAATAAGACCTGGAAAGGAACAAAGGGCTGCCCAGGTGACTCCCTGTCCCGAAAGAGGAATGTCCATCCTTAGGGACTGAGGTGGTTCAGTGAAGAGAATAGTGATCTAGGAATAAGGGAGCCCTGAGTTCAGATCCCTGTCTTAGATACTAACTGGATGAAGTGAAGGCAGAGACGTGCACACACACACACACACACACACACACACACACACACACACACACACACACCCCTATAAAGAGACAGAGGAAAATATATTGGAATAATATATATTCAAATAATAGATATTGGAATAAAATATGTAAGAATAATATATTGGAATAATATGTATTAGAGCAATATATTGGAATAATATATTAGAATAACATATAGGAATGCATATTGGAATAATATATATTAGAATAATATATTAGAATAATGTATATAGGAATATATTAGGATAATATATAAAGGATATATTGGAATAATATATTAGACTAATATATATATTAGAATAATATATTAGAATAATGTATATAGGAATATATTAGGATAATATATAAAGGATATATTGGAATAATGTATTAAAATAATGTATATATTGGAATAATACATATTAGAATAATATATTGGAATAATGTATATAGGAATATATTAGGATAATATATAAAGGATATATTGGAATAATATATTAGACTAATATATATATTAGAATAATATATGTGTGTGTGTATATATATATATACACACATATAAGTGTGTATGAATGAGGGAATTTGTTTTGCTTGACTATGCATATTTGTAACAGATTTTTTTTTCCTTTTTTTTAATAGAGGGGAAGTGTGGAGGACAGAAAAGAGATTTTTGTTTCTCAAAAAAAATTAAATGAGATTTTAAAAAAATAGATACTAGCAGGCAACACTGGGAAACTCATTTAACGTATTTCAGCCTCAGTTTTCTCTCTGTAAAATGGAGGTGCCAGTAATAACACCTGCTCCACAGGATTTCTGTGAGGATCAAATGAGATATATATATATATATGTGTGTGTGTGTGTGTGTGTATGTGTATATATGTATATGTATATGTGGGTATATATGTGTGTATATATATGAAGCACTTTGCAAAACTTAAAGTTCTATATAAATAAAAGCTATTATTATAATAATCATTATTAAGGCAGCTAAGTGGTACAGTGGGTAGAGCACCAGGACTAGAATTAGGAAGACCTGAATTCAAATCTAGCCTCAGATACTTAATGACTGTGTGACCCTAGACAAGTCACTTAACCTCTGTTTGCTTCAAATGCAAATGTGGATAATAACAGCACCTACCTCCCAGGGATTTTGTGAGGTAAAAATGAGATATTTGTAAAGTGCTTGGCATAGTGTCTAGCACATAGTTGGTGCTATATAAATGTTAGCTATTTATTATTATTATTATTATTATTATTATTATTATTATTAGTGGATGTTTGGAAGACAGGTGGGGAAGGGGGAAAGGCATGATTAAAAGGGTCTCCAGACAGAAAAGGCTGGCTTAGCATCAAATGGGAAGGACTTGGAATCAGGGGGACTTGGGGTCTTGAGTCCTGGCTCTGACACTTGCATCCATGACTGGGGAGATGGGCGTGGTGGCTTGGAGTCAGGAAGACCTGGGGATGGAATCTGTTCTCAGGCATTTGATAGCTGCCCAACACTGGAGCAAACCCCTTACCCTCTCTTAAGGCTGTTTCCCAATTTTGTAAATTGAGGATAATAATGGCACCTGCTTCCCAAGCTTATTGTGAGTATCAAATGAGATAAGGAATAAAAAGTGGTTTGCACAACTCAAAGTCTAAATGCGAGCTCTTATTATTAGTTGTGTGACCAGAGGCAAATTACTGAACCTCTTTCTGAGCTTCTGTGACTTATATTTCCTACCTACAGCAAAGCCTGGAATCACGAAGACCCAAGTTCAAAACCAATCACAGACACTTACTATCTGGGTGACCCTGGGCAAGTCACTTAACCACTGTCTACCTCAGTTTCCCCATCTGTAAAACGGGGATAATAATAGCACCTATTTTGGAACTCAAAATCTTGTGGAAGTGAATGTTGAAAACTAAAAATAAATAAATTAATATAAAATATAAGAAAAAAATAGTACCAATTCTCCAGGATTGTTGCAGGACCAAATGAAATAATAATCGTAAAGTGCTTAGCATAGTCTATGGCACATAGTAGGTACTATCTAAAAGGTATTTATCATCATCTTCGTTATTATCACTACTGTTGCACAGGGTTGTACGAAAAGCATTTTGTAAACTTTGCAAAACACTATATATATAAACGTGAGCTATGGAATAACAAGTTGAAGACACAGATGGCTCTGCTATATTCCTGAAGACAGTCCAAATTGCATTTTCTTAGCAGAGTCTTTTATTTTCCCTTGTTCAGGGTAACTAGGTGTTGCAGTGGATAGAGCACTGGCCCTGAAGTCAGAAGGACCTGAGTTCATATCCAGTTTCAGGCCAAACACTTGACACTTACTAGCTGTGTGACCCTGGGCAAGTCACTTAACCCGACTGCCTAAAAATTCTAAAAAAAAAATTATTTTCCCTTGTTCAAATGCTGATATTATCAAAATGCTCCCAACAAGTGCCCATCATCTAAATGTTTCTTAGGTTCTTTGTTTGTTTAAAATATTTCATTGCATCCAAGATAATTACTAAGGAGTCATGATGAAAAAATGCTATCTACATTATTCCAATATACATTACTATCTAGCTATCTAATTCTGGGCCACTAGGTGGTGCCATAGTGCATAGAGCGCCAGAACTGGAGTCAGGAAGACTCATCTTCCTGAGTTCAAATCTGGCCTTAGATACTTCCTAGCTGTGTGATCCCAGGCAAGTCACTTAACTCTGTTTGCCTCAGTTTCCTCATCTGTAAAAATGGGCTGGAGAAGGAAATGGCACACCACTCCAGTATTTTTGCCAAGAAAACCCTAAACGAGGTCACGGAGAGTCAGACACAGCTAAAAAACAGCACAAGAGATATTATTCTAATCAGAGAGACTTGATGAACTATGGATGCAGATAGCACTCAAGAGGCAAGAAGTAAACAAAATAATCATATGGCTCACCAATTCTCAAGAGGGCTGGCTAACAATGACTGAGAAGCTGGGCACCATCCTCTAACCTGGGGCCTGCCCTCCCACTGGTCTGCACGGTTCATTTACAACATGAACGCCTGCTGCCAACAGTGCCTACTTTGTAAACTGAGGCTAGATCCCTATTCCCTGGGACCAGAGTGAG